CGAAGTCTTGCTGCTGTCTGTGCTGGGCCCAGCTGGGCCCTGGCAACGGTCTCCAAGCACTACCTTGGGTAGTGCAAACCTTAGGGGGACCAACGCCCCGAAGCCGACACTCCCCCTCAGGACGTGCAGCGACATCATTGCAGGCTTGCGTGACGAGCCCCTGCCCGTCCAGGTAGTGGACTCTTGCGCTGCCCTCTTGAGTCATAGCGTTGCCCTCCTGGGTGCTCCCCTTCTCCCCCTTGTATTTTTTCTTGCTTGGCAGTTTGGTGCGGCAGCTTGATACGTAAGTTGTCGAGGCAAGGCTGCTGGGCGTCTGCTTGGGGCCTTTGGCTGCCGCTGCCAGGTGAGCAGCTGCTGCTGCGCTGGGCGCCCCGCGCATGGGCGCGCCGCGCTAGCGCAGGCTGCGACCCCCCCCCTTCCCCCCTCGAGAGCGCTGCGCCTATCGAAACGGAGCCGGAGCGCGAGGAGTGCAAGTGTTGCCAACCGAGTCCTCGCCCAGGGAAACTGCTTGGCCCAGGCCGTGCAGGGCGTTGTGTCTCTTGTTGCTCGCATGGGGCGCGGAGCTGTCGGGTAGTTTTGCGCCCGCCAACGCGCCACAGGTCAGCTTGTTCTACAGCCACGCTTGCCGGCGCGCCTGGAGCGGCGCTGCGCGCGGATTGCCGCCTGCGTCACCTTTGCGAGGTGGGCGCCCTTCTCGCCCTCTACTCTACTCGGCCGAACTTGCATTGAAGCTTCGAACGGCCCGCCGCTGCCGTCCCCGCCTGGGGCCCCTCCCTGGGGCTCGGCGCGCGGCCGGCGACGCGGCGGCCCCCTGCGCTGAGCCGCCGTGCCCCTGAGACGCCCGTGGCGCAACTGAGCAAGCTCCACCGCCTGGCCGCCGAGCAGTGCGAGGGGTACGTCGCGCCGGTCGAGGCCCGCGATGGCGAGCAGGTTTCTGTTGCATTCGGGGCCGCGCCGGTCTCCGGGCATTGCTCTCCTCACGGGATGGGTGAGGTCGGAGCCCAATCATAGCAGCGACAGCTCTGGGATCAGCGCGTGTGCGAACGGCAAGCAGTGGCAGCAGGGTTTCTTACTGCTCAGCGGGGCGTGGGAGGCCAAGGTGGCGCCAAGTGTCAGCAGCGACAGTTCTGGGAGCAGCGCGTGCGCGAAAGACGAGTAGTGGCAGCGTTTTTTGTTTCGGGAAGTGAGGTCGGCGCCAGATGCCCAGCTCTGGGACCAGCGCCTGCGCGAACGGCGAGGCGAGAAGTGGCAGCCGGCTCTGTCGCTGCTCAGCGAAATATGGGGAGTGAGGTTGGAGCCGACTGTCCGCAGTTACAACGCTAAGTTTCCCCAGCGACAACGCGAGGACCCTAGCGCGTGCGAGCAAGGCGGCCGCTGGCAGCAAGCCGAGGCGCTACCCAGCGAGAGGCGGGGGCCGGGACCGAAAGCAGGCGTCGTCACCAGCGACACCGCTGGGATCAGCGCCAGGGCTTCACGTTGTCAGCCACAACGCTGGGATCAGAAGCCGTGCGATGAGAGGGCAGTCGCAGCGAACCGAGGAGGCAGAGGAGACGCAGGAGGTGACCGAAGAGGGGGTGGGGGTGGTGGGGGAAAACGGTGCGTTCAGGAGGGGCGAGGCCGACGAGGTGGAAGGAGCGGCAGCGACGAGGCCTGGCTGGCGAGAGGGCCTGGTGGCTGCGCTGAGAATCTGGGGGCCTGGTGGCTGCGCTGAGAATCCGGGAGGGGTCGCGCCTTTGCGGAGGGCTGGCGGGGGCGCGGCGGGCCACCAGGCCCTGAGCCCTTTTAGGCCCCCCAGGGGCCACAACACGTTGCGCCAGGTCCAGCTCCGCCCGGTGGTCCGGTGCCGGAGGTCGCGCAACTCGAACCGAGGAAAAATGCAAATCTGCGGCTCGCGTGTTCCTGATCCAAACGTCTCTTTCTTCCCACCTGATCGCAGACGCGACGGTTCCCCACCATACGTCGAGCCTGCTGATAATTGTCAAACTGCGGCGTCTTACAGCAGATTACGTTGTGGCGGGTCACAGGCGCCTGTGCTTGAGGAGGTCCTTCCTCGTCCTTACCTCCGTGGATCTCAGCCCTGTAAGTTGCCCCTGCAAGAGGTTCTGTGGGACTCACCCTAGCAGCTGTTTGTCCTGGTTCCCCTCTCTGATGGGCCAGTCCTGCCAGCTCGCGCAGGCGCGCCTTCGCCTTGCCGTTGCGTCCGCGCGCTCGCCTAGCGCACTCGCCTAGCTCCGCCAGCGGGTCGTCAACCTCCGTGTCGACGATAGACTCGAGAGAACGCTTCCATGCTCTCCCCTGCGTTTCTGGTTTCCTGTGGAGATGTCCTAGGACGCGGCAACCAGCGCGACCTTGTTCATCGCAACGTGGGCCTGCAAAGCAGTGTTGATGATTTTTTCCAACCTTTTTCAGCCGCGTCGGTGATACCCTTGACGATTTGACGTGGGGCTCCGACTGCGTTCAAACCCGCGTCGTCGATGTTCGTGTCGAAGGTGCGCCCCCTGAGGAGCCCGAGGTCGTCAAAAAAAACGCGTAAGCCAAAAATGCGGACCATCGTGGTAGCGAAGCTGCGACCAGCGACGAGTCCGGTGCGAGCAGTCATCGGGGTAGCCACAACGCCGACCAGAGTCAAGAAACGAGCTGACCTGTAGCCAGCGGGACATACGGCTGTGATGGCGCTGGGCAGCCAATGCTTCGCGCATCTGGGACTGAGGAGGTGGGATGCGCCCGCAATACTTTGCGAGGTCCCACCGATGGGCGCAGGTGTGGCCAGCCTGGGATCGCGATCGCTCCGAGCGCGCGGCCTGGCGGCAAACCGCATCACAGGTTTATTTTTATTGCCCCGCTGCCCAGGAAATCCTCCGGTTGGTAACCCCCCAGGCTATGGCAGACTCCTCCCTGCACCCCCCCAAGACGGAAAAGATAAGGAAATGCACCTCTGGGCGTGGGGCCTGAAGTAGGTTTCGGCAGAAGAGCAAGAATGACTGCTTGCAGCTGCATGGGCTACGTCCCCCCCCCCCCCCCTATCAGAATCAACATCCGCGAAGGCACGTGCAGGGCTCCGTCCGACAGGGCCGAGAAGCACCGAAGATGAAAGCAGTCCAGACGTCGCGGACCCATGGGCGAATGTTTTGGCGTATCTCCTCCTGACTGTGATAGAGAGGAGGGAGGGGGGGGGGGGGTATTTCCCTGCCCGGCAAGCTTCACGGGAAGAGCCCTCCTCTGTTCGCAGGGCTTGGTCCTGGGTCAACAATTTCAGAGAGCCAGTCGGCCCAGTTCTTCCGAGCACGGTGGGCGAAAAAGTAGCACGCTGAGCGGCAAAATCGGAAATCTGTTCGTTCAGCTGAGAAATCAGGTTTTGAATGCCCTCCAGGGCCTCGTCCGAACCAGGGCCTGCTGCCAACCGCCTCCTGTGGGTAAAAATACAGACGCGCTTCGCGGTAGAAGCCCACCGTCTACAGGCGTAAAGTTGGAGGCGCCTGGCGCTGCCATGGTCTCTGCCCAGGGTGGGCCTCCAGTGGGCAATGGGCCCCCTTGGCCCGCCTGCCCCAGACAGGAAGTTCATCCCCAAAAATCCTCCCCAAAAGTCCTGGCTAGTGCGCGCTCCGCAAGGCCAGCCCACGAAACGTAAGTTTCCCAGAGAAAAGAGCTTGGCAGTCCTCGCTAGGTCGCTCCCCCCTCTCGGCTCGCAGACCGGCGGCGTTGAGCTGCCCCTCGACTCTGGGGCAATCCATGGGCTCAGGTTTGGGGCCGGACGCCGCCGCAGCAGGGGGGGCAGGAGGGCGCTGAAAAGTAATGTCGTGCAGCTTCGCCAGGCCAGCGAACCAATCTTATCTGCTCAGGCGTGGGGGGGGGGGGCAGTCCAGCTTCGCCTATCGTCGTAGCTTCCGAAATGCCTGTCGAAGGTCCAGAGGGTACTATGCGTTGGTCAGGGGTCTTTCCAGACCCAGTGTGGCAAGTGTGTGCAGCTGGTTCAACCACTTGGCCCACCAGACCCCCAACAAACTTCGATTCCACGAGGTTGCCTGGCTCCATGTTCCAGCCGCCGCCTGCCGAGAATGGTTCCCCACGCGTGGACCCCTCAGCCCCCGCCACCGAAATAACAGCAAGGTTGGCGTCTGACAGGCTTTCGGGATCGCGAAGATATTGCGAGCAAGCCTGAGCGGCAACCCCACCTGGTGTATGGACCACGGCCGAGATCGCTCGGCGGGGGGCGATCTCGATGCCCTGGGGAGGGGGGTGGAGGCCCAAAGAGGACCCACGCAGAACAGCAATTCTGGCCGAGTGGCCACCTCCTGGTGGTGAAAACTTTTTGCTCTTGGATGAGAATGACCTCTGCTGAGGCGCTGGGCAACCAGTCCTTCGCCGACCCCCAGGGATCGCCGTTGATCGACGCGACTCGAAGGCGAAACGATTTTGGCTTTTGGGGGCGGCGGTTGGGCGAAAGGGAAAGGCCTTGGCAATTTGAGGTTAGGAACGCACCTGCCATCTGGGCACGAATGGGGGCATGCTGTGAGGGTGTGTTTGCCCTGGGGGGGGGGGCCGGCTTAGGGTGCTCGCCGAGCTCCCCCTCCCTGCCGCCCTCTCCCCTCCCCCCGTCCGTGGCGGCGAATCCCGCCCGCGCTGCCAGAGGCAGCGGCGCGATTCCCGCTCCTCGTGTCGACGGCAGCCAACGAACGGGGGCCCGCGGCACTCGGAGGGCCCGCGGGCTTCACGACTGCCACTTCCTCCACGACGGAAGAGGGGGTGCCAGAGGTTCCTCGCTCCTCATTGCGCGTCCAGCTGGAGACAAGAAGATGTGACTCCCTGCGAAATCGTTGGCGACTCCCCCCTCAGGCTGCCGTGTCTTCGGGGGGGGGCCTGATTTTGCTGCTCTTTGTCGCCTGCTCGTCCGTCAGGCGCCCGTTCGGCTTTTTCTGAATGCTGAGCGCGCTGGGTCACGCGAGCAGCCTGTTCGCGGACCCTGCTGGGCGAGGTCGTGGCCAGAGCGGGCTCAGGCGAGCCACCGCCTCCTCCAGCCGCAGGGCTGGCTGCCGCTGAGGAGGGGGCTCCACCTCCGTCGCCGCCAGCGGAGACCTCGCCCGAGCGGCCGCGGCGCCACTTCCCCGCCCTCCGCTGGAGGTAGCTCTCGTGCTCCTCTTGGCGACGTTGGCGCGCTCGATGGCCGGGGCGAAGAGGGCCTCGCGGCCTCGCCGATGTGTTCCTTGAAGTCCGTGCGCCTGCGTTCGTCTCTGGCCAGGTCCGCTTCGCCAATGCCATCGATGCCCGCCAAGAAGAAACCTCCGTCGTCAATCGTGATGTTGGCGACCTTGCCGTCGACGAGGTTCTGCAATGACAGTGCTGGGCCCTTGTCAGCGGGCGCCTCTTTGAATTCGGGGACCACTGCTGTATGGGGCCTCGCCACCAACTGGCGATGTTCCTCCCCCATGGCCTGGCTCTGCTTGGGCATGTCGTGAATGAGAACTTCCTGGGCCCGAGCTCCTTCCTGCCACCTCGCGAGCTTTGCAAGTTCATGCTCCAATCGCTGGTCTGGCTTCTCGACGCGGCAGTGGAGGTCGGAGACCTGGTCCTGGAGCGCCCTGGGGGGAGGTCTTGGCGCCTCCGCCAGCTGATCCAGCTTGGTCTGGTGGCGGGCCGTGGCTTCCTCGTCGCCAATGCGCTTGGAAAAGGTAACAAGCATCTGTAATTCCTTGGCGTCGAGGGGGCCGTCGGTCGCCACAGCTGGCGCTGCAGGCCCAGGCGAGCGCCCTGAAACCAGTGGCCTAGGAGGGGGGGCGACCCACTCTCCAGGTGGGTGATACCCTGGGGCGCTAGGAACGCTTTGCTGATGAGCCCACGCACCACCGGGAACGCGAGGACCGCCGGTAGAGGGCGCTTGGCTGGCGGCCCCACGGTGTTTGCAATACCAATGCCATGCCTTCGTCTTGCTGCGCCCACTTGAGACGCACTTCCACCGATCGCCGCCTGGCGTCTGGTCGTGCTTGGCGGTCTTGCCCTGGCCCTGCCAGGAGTAGGTGTTGCCATATCCTTGTCCCGATCTGCTGCCACTGCGCCAAGAAGCAGCGCCCTTGGAGCGCCAGAGCGGGGAGCTGCCGCCGCACCCGCCAGCGCCGCCATGGGGCATGGGAGCTGTTGGGAGAGAGAGAGAGAGAGAGAACTGATATCGACGCCACACATTTGACCCGCGGATTCTTTGCCGTTCTCAAGAGAAGTATCCGCAAGCACAGCACCTGCGCCAGGAAAGGCTAGAAGAAGAGGAGGAGGAGGAGGAGGAGGAGGAGGAGGAGGAGGAGGAGGAGGAGGAGGAGGAGGAGGAGGAGGAGGAGGAGGAGGAGTAGGAGGAGGAGGAGGAGGAGGAGGAAAAGGCCCCTGCGTGGATCGTGGCGAGTCTTGTTGGCAACCCATACAGAACATTTTCCCCAGCTCTTTTGCTGCCAGGAGGTATGTGATTCACCCGTTTGCGCCAAAATGGCTGGGATTATTCGAGCGGTTTGCTTGTTTACTGCCGCAATATCCTCCGCTCTCGGAGCAGATTTGGAGGATTTCTCGACCGAAGCGCTGATTTTGCCCCCCCCCCCCCCCCAGGGGGCCAGATTTTGAGGATGTCTAGATTGGTTTGTCTGTTTCAGTGGCCAGACTCGTGGGCGCGGATCCTCCCCAGGATGCCCCCAGGATTGAGGAGGCCCCAGCAGTCTCCAGGAGGCACCAGGAGGCATCGGGAGGCCACACGATGCTCCAAGAGGCTCCAGGAGGCCCCAGAAGGCATCAGGAGGCTCCATGAGGCCACAGGACGCCACAGGATGCCCCAGGAGGCCCCAGGAGGCCACAGGATGCCCCAAGAGGCTCCAGGATGCCCAAGGAAGCTCCACGAGGCTTCAGGAGGCTCCAGGATGTTCCAGGAGGCCACAGGAGGCCACAGGAGGCCCCAGGGGGCCGCAGGACGCGCCAGGAGGCCCCAGGAGGCCCCAGAAGGCATCAGGAGCCCCCGCGAGGCCCCAGGAGCAGGAGGCCTCAGGAGGCCACAGGAGTGGCTCCAATTCCATGTCTTGCACGTCTGCTCCTATGGATCGGGCCTCCCCTGTACCACGCCGACCCCCTGGTGTTTTACGTATGTTTATGTAGATTGTCCTTCTCCTGTGTATCCGATCCTAAGTGCTTTACGTATGTTCTTGTAGACTGGGCCTCCCATATGTGCACGAGTCCTTTGTGTTTTACGCGTGCTCACGCACACACACACACATATATAGGCATATATATATATGCATATATATATATATATATATACACATATGCACATATATATATATATATATATATGTATGTATGTATGTATACATACACACACATATATATAGTGCCTTTCTACTGCGGCTCCGATTCGTGTTTTACGTACGTCTGTTCCTATATTTTGGGCGTCTCTTGGGGCACGAATCCTCCCCAGAAGGCCCCAGGACGCCCCAGGAGGCTCCACAGGAGGCCCCAAGAGGCTCCAGGAGGCCTCAGGACGCCCCAGGAGGTTTCAGGAGGCCCCAGGAGGCCCAGGTTCATGCGCAGAGACGCGCTCGTACTACTGAGACTCGTTCTCACGCCAGCTCATTCACAATTCGATGCGCTCCCAGACCGTCAATATTCAAGCCCGTGAATACTCGAAAACTCTTGCGCCTAGACGCTCACGGCGGACAGGTCCATGCTGGTAGATGCACAGACGGGGAGCTCCACGCGGTGAATCGCGTTCTTTTTTGGGGGGGGTTCGTTGGGGGCACGCGACACATCAATCAGCTCGTTCAGGCCGCTGTCCGTGCGGGCCCCGCTGTCGGTCTCACGAGCGTGAGCGGTCGCAGCAGGAGCATGCTCTTTCAGTGGAGCCGCCCTGCTGCCCCGTGCTGTCCCCCGCCGTCTCCATCTCCCCGTTCTAGCTTGGCCCTCCTCCCTTCTCCTCCCTCCTTCTCCCTCCTCCTCCTCCTCCTCCTCCTCCTCCTCCTCCTCCTCCTCCTTCCTCCTCCTCCTCCTCCTCCTCCTCCTCCTCCTCCTCCTCCTCCTCCTCCTCCTCTCCGTTTGGTCACCTTCTCTTGTTGCTGCAGAGGCGAGCGTACCGTGTCCTTTTTTGGCGGCCGTTTGTGCTGTAATGCTTTTTCTGTGCCCTCCCTCGTGTGCAGCAGCCGGGCGACGAGACCCATACATCCACGGCTCCCTGGCTGAGCCCAGGAGCCGTGTATACGCCCTCCTGGTCGAGCCCGGAGAGCGTGGCGTATGCACGGTTGCTGGGTTCAGGCTGGTCCTGGCCAGGGCGCACTGGGTATGTATGGATTTCGTCTCCCTGAGCAGGGGCTTTCTCGGTGGCTGCGTGCTCTGGCGGCTGCCAGAGCCAGACGGGAGTAGCAGGTGCCCCTGCGTCGCTGGAGCCACGCGTGCCCGTGCGTGTCCTTCGAGTGCTGCCTCGCAGCATCCCCTATCCGGGGCGGGGCAGCACGCGCAAAACACGCAGCGCGGGCTGAAGTGCGGCGCAGTCGGAGGGAGAGACGGGCAAGCAGCAAACAGAGCGCTGCAGTCCTGGGCGAAGGCGGACAGTTCGAGGCCGCGGCCAGCGCCCGCCCACCCAACAAGCAGGAAGCAGGAATTCATCACTTCCTGCCAGACCGCGGGGCACGTGCGCAGAAGGCGCAAAGTGGCGACGACAACACAGATGCACACGCAACCCGTGGCAGGATAACAACTGCATGCCACATCAGGGGATTCGATGCAGGCGCGAGGCAGGATCAGGGATTTAAGAAACCGGTCTTCGCTTGTCCGGTGTGTAGAACACTGTACGAGAGCGCAGGATAGGTGACATCACGTGCAAGTGACGCAGCCTAGCTATTGAAGGACGTCGCTGCGGATGGTCGCAACAGAAGACAGGGTGGTACGACGAAAACCACACAGGGATAGCCTTCACATCGCACAACAAAGACACCAGAGCACTGTACAAAAATACAAAGGCATGCGCCCCGTACATGAAGGCAAGCTTGCGTGATGACGCAGCGTGGTACACCAGCGTGTCGCCGCTGCGCTGCAAAATACGGTGCCTTAGGCTCCCGCGGGCAGTCAAATCACAGAGGACGCGGCGGGGTGCCCCGACGAGATTCAACAGGGCGCCTGGGCGAGCCAAAGGGGGGCGGCCAAGCGTCCAGGAAACCCGGCTCGGCACCCCTCTGTGTGGCAGCCTCCTCCTCGCTCAGGATTTGGCGCGCGGACCTCTTTCCTGGGGCGGGCGCGCGCAGCAACGCTGGACAGGGAGCTGGCGGAGCAGGCGACGGCAAGTCAGTCACGGGCCGCAGGCATAAAATCAGCTCCTCCATCCTTTCGTGCGTGCCTGTCTGGCTTCCGCGCGCGATCACGGTCCCGTGCCTGCGTTCCGTTGGGCAGCTGAATTTGCAAGGGCTGTCTCGGTGCAAACGTGACCGTAACATCAAGCGACAGCTGCGCCCGGCAGCTCCCAGCCACAGCGTAGGGCGGCGCGCCAAAACGAAGCGCAGCGTTGTGCAAGTCTACCTGCGACGTGAGGTTCGAGGCACAAGTGGCCGTGAGCTTTAGCTTCGGGTCCATCTCGGGGCCCGCCACCCTTTCTCCCCCTCCCCTTGTTGCAGCTGCCTGGGTGTAGTCCTGTGTCTCTTCTGCCCAGTGCTCTCCCTGATGCAACGCAAAAGAGCTGGAGTTAGCGCCCTTCAAGGCGCCGACTCGAGGGATCACCGACGCACCCTCCAGGGGGAAGAGGCGACAGAGTGCTCGCGGCTTTGAGTGGGGTCCGCGCAGACCCAGACCTCGCGTCTTGAGAAAGCCATATGGTGGTTGGACGTGCCCGAAAGCCGCGTGGAGGTGGCGGCCGTCGTCAGGGACTGGTAACCCTGCTGCACTTGGCTGCGGCGTGGAAAGCTGGGGTGAAGCGCTGTGCGAGCAACGTAGCTGGCCCCCTCAGTGGGCGTTTGCAGTGGGGCTGCCGAGGAGCTCTGCAACACTTTCTCGTGCGCGCGCTGCTCCCGTCGCTGCTGGCGCTTCCTGGGGTCTCTTGCCTTGTGGGGTGTTCCCGTGTTCGGGGAGCCCCAGTCGGCTGCCGCGGGAGAAGCTGGGCGCGACGTCAGGCCTGTCCCGCCAGCGTTTTTTGTTGTTTTGTTTTGTTGCTTTGTTATTCCCCCTCTTTTCTTTTTCTTTCTCTTCTCCCTCTTCTTCGTCCTCTTATTCTTCTGCGCTTCTTCTTCTTCTTGTTCTTCTGCTCCGTCTTCTTATGATAATTCTTCTTCGTCATCTTCTTCTTCTTCCCTTTTTTTCTACTTCTTATTATTATTCGTCTTATTCTTCGTCTTCTGCTTCTTCTTCCTACTCATATTTTGTGTTTCTTCTTATTCTGCTTCATCTTCTTCTTCTTCTTCTTCTTCTTCTTTATCTTCTTCTTCTTCTTCTTTATCATTTTCTTCTTCTTCTTCTTCTTCTTCTGATCGCAGCTTTTCGCGGCTGGGCAGCACGGCCGTCCCAGACGTCGGCACGGATTTAATTTTGGAGTGGCGTCTGGAGGCGGTCGCCCGCGCACTGCTCGAGCAGGGCGTTGATGTGTGAATCCTGCCTGGCTCGCGGTTCCTGCCGACGTGCGTGGCTGCCAGCAGGTTCTCGGCTTGTTGGGAAGGGCCCGGCGTCCAGGGAGTGGGATATGGCAGGCTTTTTTTTCGTGGGAGACGAGGTGGAGCAGGCGG